ATTACAAGAAGCTTGAATGCAACTGAGGCCTTGGCTACACTCGCGGATTCACAGCGCTGCCGCGGCAGTGCTGTGAAGCGCGAGTGTAGTCGCGCCACCAGCGCTGTGAGAGCTCTCTCGCAGCGCTGTATGTACTCCACCTCTCCGAGGGGAATAGCTTGCAGCGTTGCGAGAGAGCGTGCAGCGCTGCAGGCGCTGATTACACTCGCGCTTTACAGCGCTGCACTCGCTGCGCTCAGGGGGGGTGTTTTTTCACACCCCTGAGCGCGGCAAGTGCAGCGCTGTGAATTGCCAGTGTAGCCAAGGCCTCAACTAAGTAACACTCCACATGCCAAATTGTGGAGGCTGGGCCTACATACAGGAACAGTGTGGTCCACACATGTGCTAAACTCACACAACATGCTCAGTGCCATTGTTTTTAAAACCTAATCTAAGAACAGCCATCCTGGGTCAGATCAAATGTCGTTCTAGCCCAGTATCCTGTCTTTCGACAGTGGCCAATGCCAGGTGCCCCAGAGGGAATGAACAGAACAGGGAATCATCAAGTGATCTATCCCTGTCGCTCATTCCCAACTTCTGGCAAACAGAGGCAAGGGACACCATCCCTGCCCATCCTAGCTAATAGCCATTGATGGACCTATCCTCCATAAACTTATCTAGTTCTTTTTTTATCTTGTTTTAGTCTTGGCCTTCACAACATCCTCTGGCAAGGAGGTCCACAGATTGACTGTGTGTTGTGTGAAGAAATATTTCCTTTTGTTTGTTTTAAATCTGCTGCCTATTAATTTCATATGGTGACCCCTAGTTCTTGTGTTATGAGGAGTAAATAACACTTCCTTATTTACTTTCTCCACACCAGTCATGATTTTATAGACCTCGATCATTTCCCTTATTAGTCATCTCTTTTCAAGCTGAAAAATCCGAGTTTTATTAATCTCTCCACATATGGAAGCTGCTCCATACCCTTAATTATTTTTGTTGCCCTTTTCTGAACCTTTTCCAATTCCAATATAACTTTTTGAGATGGGGCGACCACATCTGCACACAGTATTCAAGATGTGGGCGTACCATGGATTTATATAGAGGCAATATGATATTTTCTGTCGTGTTATCTATCCCTTTCTTAACGATTCCCAACATTCTGTTCGCTTTTTTGACTGCCGCTGCACATTGAGTGGATGTTTTCAGAGAATTATTGACAATGACTCCAAGATGCAAGATCTCTTTCTTGATTGGTAACAGCCCATTTAGACACCATCATTTTATATATAGTTGGGATTATGTTTTCCAATGTGCATTACTTTGCATTTAATCAATATTGAATTTCATCTGCCATTTTGTTGCCCAGTCACCCACTTTTGTGAAATCCCTTTGTAACTCTTTGCAGTCTGCTTTGGACATAACTATCTTGAGTAATTTTTTATTGAATGCAAATTTTGCTACCTGATGGTTTACCCTCTCTTTCAGATCATTTAAGAATATGTTGAACAGCACTGGTCCCAGTACAGACTCCTGGGGGGACACCGCTATTTATCTCTCTCCATTCTAAGAGCTGACAGATCTAATGCCCACTGACTTCAATAGGCGTTGGAGTAAGCCCCAGATGAACACTCAGTACACTCATGTATTTATGATGATAAATAAGCTCATCTCCGAAAAGTATTATTAAAAATATTAGATTTTAGCCTTAAATCTAGCTGGACTAGCATGATAATGAAATGAAGCTAAAGCATAACTTTTCTGAATAAGCATTTAAACAATGATACTTAAACTACAAGGATGACCTATACCTCGGTAAAGAAATTAACAGCACTATAAATGTTCATCTACGGTTTTGCAAGCTCGTATTCAAGTACATAATAGATTTGAACAATAAATTGCCCCTAATTTCTAGCTTAAACACCATGAGGCCTTGGGCCATTTTACAGAGTGTTCACTGAAATGCTGCACAGCGTCTCCCAACTAATGGAAAATACCCATTTCTGAAGAGTTCCACCATTATACTTCTGTTTTTCAGTATAAATGAATGATGTTTTGCTTATCCCAGATTTAGGTCCTGATTCAGGAAAGCATCCCAATTCAGGAGAGCGGTTAAAGCACAAAAGTCAATGTGACTTACACACCTGCTAAAGTGCTGTCCCAAATTGGGGCCCTAATTCACAACAGTAAATGGCAAGGTCTAACTTATTCCTTGCACACTCAAACTGCCATGGTCTTTCTTCACTAGGGGAACTGTAGTAAGCCAAGAATGGAGGGTGAGCCCCATGTCTTTCCAGGACAATTCTGAAGCCTGTTAGGCCCTAAACCTTTAAAAGCTTACACACATGCTTAACTTTAATCATGTGAACAGTCTCAATCACACTACTCATGGGCTTGATTACACTGATGCACATAAACAAGTCTCTGTAGGATTAGGGCCTTCAGAAACTCATCAGCTCATATGTCAGAAGAACTAATATAAAGAATTATTGAGAAATATCCCAGCAACACCCAAGGTGTAGGAGGGCAAATCTGGCATTGTCTGGAATATATTTTGCTCTAAAATGAAAAGGAAAAAGTTACCCACAAATGAATAAAATAAAAGCCTGCACTAGAGCTGAATAAACATTTACAGCCTGGCAGATAGCCACATATTGAAAAGCCGCATTTAATGTTTAATTTAGTTTTGTTGATGCAAGCAGCTTTTTCTTTTAATTTTTAGTTCCCTGAACATTTTATAAGCACACTGAGCGTACAAAGGGGGTTCGGATGTCTAAAAGACAAAACCAAGTCTTCTCTCACATTTTCAATTTTTAACAAGTTTTACAACATATTTATATTCTTTAAAGATCCTTGTGAAAAAACAATTTTGTTTGTCCCATAAAGACATTATAGAATTTGATATCTAAAATAGCAACAATTGGTTAAGAACAACAACAAATCTCCCACTTCAGAATTCTTAAATTTTAAATCTCTCCCTACAGTATAAAATCTAATTCTGAGTTTTCCAAGCAAAACCTTCATTTATTAGTGATAAAATACTTTACCGTGAATACAAGTGTGGGGGTTTTGTTAAGATAACTGTTCTTTCAGAAATGTGAAGTTACTGACTGAGACAGTGGAATGGTGCAAAACACTCAACTTCTACAAAGCTTCAACAATTCATGTTAATATTCTGGGGAAAAATAAAACTGGAGGAAAATAAATAATGATATATTTATATTAATATTTGACTCCTATAAGCAATTATCAAAGGGAATGCAGTGAATATTAAATGACAGATGATTTTAGCTGCCATTTTAAAAATCCAGATAACTTTAAACAGCTTACAAAAATGAGGTGATAATGTAAAAAGCTACAGTATATTCAAGTGTCAAACCAACTCTATTTTGTAATTTAATTTTTAAAATAAACATATCTTCCACAAGTTATTACATAGCTTTGATTCAAAGAAATGAATGTTTTAGAGGCACACATTTTTAGCTTCAGATATATCTTCCTTTTATCTACAGAAAATAGCATTTTAGAATTTAATATGATGAAAATATCAGAATCATAACCATAGATCCACAAATGTTCCCAAAGGATATGATGACAGAAAATTTCAGCTACTGGAAATACTTAAAAGAGAACAAATGGAACTGATCAAATTGACCTTGAACTAATAAAACACGAATGGAGTAAGAGGGGTTTTTTAATGTGGTTTTATCATAGATTGAGCTTTCTTTTTATTCAAAACACAAATCAGAATAGGTGCGTGTGTGGTATTCTAGGAAAACAATTCAAAAATATCCAGTGTACAGTGGATTACATTAAAAATCTGCCACTCCACAGTGGCATGAGTTTAGGAAAAGACCACAGTTACTGCTCATAGAAATATACCTGGACTTCAAACATTACTTTTCAGTAGATGAAGATGGAACTCCATGCTCATTTTAAAAAGTAATCCAAGAAAACGAATGTGTAAATATCCTTTTAAAATTACCACTTGCCAAGCATAAAATATTTTTTAAAATTCAATTTCTTTCTCACACTATAACAAGATAGAAGAAAAATGGTTGGCATTGTTGTCAGATTTATTAAGCCATCCCATTTTTAGTAGCTCATACATCCAATTTCACAAGAATGTGGAGGATAAATAGATGAAATTTAAAAAAAAAAAGGATTTTTGAGTGTTTTGGCACTTTATACTTTGCTGTCCGTGAAACCATTCTGAAGCTCTGCGGTTGACTGTTAGCCAGACAAGCTAGAAATGAACTGGTCAGAAGGGATGGGCAATTCTGCTCCCATTTACACAGGCGCAAGTCTGTTGACTTCTATGAGAGTTATACCCATGTAACTCAGCAGAATGTGACCCGCAATAAACAATGTCATACAGAATTAGATGAAGGCTCAAATTCTCCTCTGACTTGCACCTCTTGCAAACCCATTAGATTCAATGAGACTCATAGTATGCATAACAGGGTAGAAATTGTCCTGAAATGTTCAAAGTTGTCCAAAGATTATATACTATATTTTTACTTCCCTAAAATATCACCTTACATGTGACATATGAATGATGACATAAGGAGAATTTACATATATTTGGCATATAATCGTCTTATTTTTTGTCATTTTCATCCTTAATATTCTCAGACTGTTTTCAGTGTGAATGTCTGAATTCTCTATAAAAGGAAATTTGGACTTCTTTTTGAAATTCCTGCCATCTGATGTGCATGTGACTATTAAGTGCTTGGCTATGATGAAGGTCTGGGATAACTATGCTACACATTACTTAGAGAGAGAGAGAGAGAGAGAGAGAGAGAGAGAGAGAGAGAGGT